TCACACTAGTGCTTTTAAAAAGAAACCATGGACATTTACATGAGGGTAAACCATGAGCAGTTTACATGTGCTGCTTGTCTTTCTATTGTCACTTAAATTTAGGGATGTTTCTCTGATATGGTACATGAATAGCCTTGATTTTTAGGCATTGGGTATCTGAGTGCTGATGTGTGATGGCGTTGCTTTGGTTTGCTGTGAGCGTTAATGTGCTCTTGTATTAAACATTAGCCAGTGCAGCATTAAATACCGAAGTTGGGCCTTTTAACCCTGAGCATGGTGTTCTTTTTAAGCAATAACACCAAGGAATAGCACTGTTAGAAACTCTGTGTTTCAGTTCTGATTAGATTTTAATAAAGAGAAAGGCTGAGCTAAGCAAAGCAGAATACCACAGGTTATTTTTGTTTGGAGAAGTTGTTTCTCTCATTACATGCTTTTGCATCAGCAAAATACTGTAGTCCCTTATGTCTTGTAGGAAACCTGTCTCATATGTGGTAAAGCTGTTTAGGGGTTTGGGCTGTCATTTAGACATAAATCAGGGAAAAAAAGCTATTATCTAACATTCAAGACCCTTTAAGCATAGCCTACTAAATCTAGGTCACGTGCAACTGCCAGTGTGCGAAAAGCATGTTAAGCAAGAATTAAAACTGCTGATGCTGAGAAATCTCAGAGTGGAAGCTGACAAGTCATTATGCTGAAGAGATTTAATATTCCAACGTGAACTTTGAGTAGGAAGTAGTGAATCTTTGCATTGAAATTTAGGGTCTGAGAAGAACGCATGGAGGTAAAGGGGAGATTATGGAGATGTATTTAGCAACCAAGCATGAAATGTTACAGAGAAATTAGCTTCTAGGTATGTTTCTTCAAAGGAATTAAGGTATCAGTTGCTGACTCAATTCAGTGTGGAAGGGGTCTTCCTAAGGCTAAGCTTGGGATCAAAGGAAGTCTAAAAGCCTTAAAGACCTAGTGAGGGAGAAGGGAACAAAGGGATGGGATAAGCTTTTGGAGGCTGCCTATAATTCAAGTGAAAAAAGGCTGACTGCCTGGAAAAACCCTTGCAGATGGAGGAAGTTTTTCAGGATAAAGCAGCACTGACTATTTCAGCTCAAGTAGTAGAGTTTATTCCTCATCTCTGCCAGAGGTTACGTTTATGCTAAGGTTACATGTATTTAGAACTGTTTTTCTACAAGCTGTATCTTACCATTGGAGCTGTGCCTTGCCTTACCTTACTTTGTTTTACCAGGAAAAAACTGAGTTGCTGTAACCTGCTCTGAGTTAAACTCCTGTATGATCCAGCTGCATCTGGGCTCTCATGTGTGCCTTGTTTGATGCTGAGATTGAACTGCAGGATCTGAGTTCCTCCTTGGAAGAATTAATGGCTTGAGAGCTGGCTTGTCCCAAGAGGGGACTGTAGCATGGCTGAACTAAGGACAAGGATTGATTGCACAGCAGATACACAAAACCTAGAGTAATAAACAGTTCATTAGATAAATTTTTTAGCCTTGTTAGCTTTGAAGTTAATCTTTGAGACCACATCAATTTTGTATTCAGATCTGAAGTGGTGGAATGTATGAAACTGCAAATATTGTGCCTGAGGCACATGTTAATTGCCCTATAAAACCTCCCCACCCATCATTTTTTACTCATTGGCTAATTTTATGCCCACTAAGGAGTTGTGTAACACTAATTTTACTGTACTTACTTTTTAACCAGCAGGCAAGTCAGTGATGCTTTCATATCATGTATCACTGTTCCCTTACATAAAGTATGTGTTGACCTCAGATCAGTAGCAGCCCAGGTTTTGAACATGTCCTTAGTGGAAGGTCTGGTTCAGGGTCTGTTTAAGGCACCTTTAAAAGAAGGTGCTATGCAGCCATAAAGCTTTTTAATCCTGAGGGCAATAGGAGCACATGCTTTGTTTTGATATGAAGGCAAACAGCACGCAAGCTGGAAGTTGAGCAATAATTGTTGCTTACAGAGCTTTTTCTTTTTATAGTAATGTTCTGTTTTTCTTTAACACTGAATCTGGCCTTCAGGGGCACAACTGATAACACATGGCAGGTTTTCAGCTGGGGTGACATGAGGATTCTGGCTTTAGGGTTGTAAAGACTGTGTGACTTTGGGTGAACGGCCTTACTAGGAGAGGGAAGCAGAGTGCGAAGAGCTGTCCCACAGCATGAAATGTGTTTCCTATTACTTAGCAGTAGGTAACTTTTTGTTCCTCTTTTTCGGCTAAATAAGGTCTGCAAAAGTAGCTAGTTCTAAAACAAGCATCAGAGTTGCTCTGGTGCTGTTTTCTTCCATTCCAAATCTTTAAGTCCTTGATCTTTTAATTGTGTCCTACGGGAATGTTAATACTTCCCTCCTCAGCACAAAGAGTGTTTGCAGTAAAAAGTGCATGAGGATACTTCTTTGAATCCTCAATTTTCCTTTAGAGAGCTTGCGTGATCTGAGGTTAGTGTGAGTACCCAGCTATGACACAAGAAACCCTTAACAGGTATGAGAACTGTGCAACAGAAGCAGCAGCACCCTGCAAGATACAGCAAACTGCACAAATGCACTGTCAGCTCCTATTTAAAAGATTTAAAAGCAAGTTTTGATTAAGTCATCTCTGCTCCTCAAACCCATTTTTGTTCTGCAGCAACAGACATCTCAGTCTGTGATTTGTGGGATGAGCTTGAGGCCTCCAAAAATAATCACTCCCTAAGAAAGAAATGGACATCTCTGTCCTTATGTAGATGCTTCATTCTACCAGTAAATCTTTCCTGTCCAGCATGCTGCCTTTCTATCTTGAGCAGCCAGGGCTTAAGAGAGACTAAACTATTTGGAATGACTTAGAAGTACTTTGACATCTGTTCTTCCAAATCCTGTTCTTCCAAAATCTCATGTTCTCTCCTGCCCCAAGGAGATGTAGTAAAGCAGCAGAACTAAGGACCAGGTAATAACAGTGTTACAGTCCAATAATGGTGAACTGCTTATTGGACTGTATTAAATAATAAGCAGATTGGGGGGGGTGTTAATTTGCGTATTAGCTTTTAAATTTTCTTCCAATCTGTTGTAAATGTGCTTTTTACTTTTTTTAACACTGGGTCACTGAATTGTCTTGCAGTTCTTCCCTCTCACACATACTAGACCCACCTTGTTGCTATAGCCAAGGCAAGCCTCTAGGTTTTCTTCTTCTTCCATAGACAGCTCTGAAGCAGAAAGAGAGGCACATGTAGGACTCAAGGAACTGCAGCATCCCTGTATTTTTAGTGTTCCCTTCCTAAGATTCCCTGTGAGTACTGGGGGAAGGATAGGAGAGATAGGGGCAGCCTTTGGCCTCCTGAAAATGTGCTTAAATTGAGTGCTTTAAACCATGCACCTTTAAACAACCTCTTTCCTAGCCTGAGCCCTTCCTCTTAGTCTGCTTTCCACCCACATTCACTCTCAGCCAAATTTACAAAGCCCACATCTTTTGCCTAACCCCCTCTAGAGAGAGCAGAGTATCAGGTGAACCTTTGAATGTATGTGCATGCACAGCACCCAAGAGGTACCTTTGCTACAGTTGATAAAACACAATAGTGCTTCCATGCTCTTCATGATGAAGTAATTGCCATCAGGACCATTTTTCAGCACTAGATTACCTGTTCTTTACTGTAAAAAGAAACCTTTTAGTTCTTTGGATGGGATTCTGCTGGTGGAGACTTGCAGATGCAGAATCAAGATTTGGGTGCCCAGCTTGAAGGCCAAGACTCAAATCAGTGGTTTCCTATTGAACATGATCGTAAAACAGGTTATGGAAAGGGAATGGCTGAGAACTCGGTGAACAGGAGTCTTACTGCCGAAGGAAATAAAATTAAGGCCACTTTTGAAATGAAAAGAATGTCAACAGGCTCTTGCCAAAGCACGTAATGTTTTAATAAAGCTTGTTTCAAGAGGACTGTCAAAGCTGCAGCCCCTTAAGCTCTATTCTCCTCTGAGTCTCCTGAGTTGCTTGTTGCAACAGTATTTCTGTTGTGATGCACCCTCTGGGACTCCAGTTTAATCATGCTCTTTTAACCAAGCAACACTCAAGAAGGTTTCAGATGTGCTTCCTGCAGGCTGTTCTGCAGGAAGTGATGGGAAAAGTTTGGAGCTGCTCATTCAGCTTAATGATAAAATCCATTTAAAGTCTGTTTAAACCGGTGGAAAAAAAGCAGGTCATAGATTTTATTTGCTTTGGTATGGGTAAATCCTCAATATTGCTGCATAAACCCAGCCTTCCCTCTGAAGTCTTGAGTAACAGTGGGCACAGATTTTCTTTTTCCATAACTACCCAGGGATACTCTGCATTAACATTTGGTGTTCTTCAGTTGCACACTCACACTGGATTTCTTGCAGTAGTAGGTGCAGACCCTGTAAATTGAATGTGTCCTGGTTTTCTGCAGAAATAAATCGGATTGAAAAGAGCTTCATCAGAATCAGAATGACTTGAAAGCCTGAACTCTGCAGGGAATAAGATGAGCAAGTGGTGTAGGGGAGGGGAAGACTTCTAGGTGCTGGGAGTGTTGGGCAGGTAGTGGCTGGCGAGAGCACTGAAGTATGTAGCAAGTACTGCTAGACCTGGTAGGTGACTCCACTCGTGTTTTGAAACTGAGAAGAGATTGAAGTGCTTTGTTTGTTGTCACTCCTCATCATGTTGCTACTGCAGGGGAGGATGTTCTACCAAACAAGGTTTCCCTTCCAGTCACTGTTACTGGAAACTCGTCCACTTTGTGTAAAATAGCATAAAAGTTCATGAAAGCAGCTCTTCTAAATGATAGAATCCCAGACTGGTTTGGGTTGGAAGGGTCCTTAAAGCTCATCCAGTTCCCACCCCCTGCCACAGGCAGGAACCACCTTCCACTAGAGCATGGTGCTCCAAGCCCCTTTGTCCAACCTGGCCTTGAACACTGCCAGGGATGGGGCAGCCACAGCTTCTCTGGGCACCCTGTGCCAGCACCTCAGCACCCTCACAGGGAAGAGCTTCTGCCTAAGAGCACATCTCAGTCTCCCCTCTGTCAGGTTAAAGCCATTCCCTTTGTCCTGTCCCTACAGGCCCTTGTCCGAAGCCCCTCTCCAGGTTTCTTGTAGCCCCTTTAGGTACTGGATGACCTGGAAGCCAGAACTGTGCCATGAATTAATGTCAAAACAAAAGTTACTGGGATGGGCATTCTTCAGAAACAGTACACACTCTGCTTGAGAAGCTTTAACACTACCAGATCAAGACTCCTTTTCCCCATGGAAGTGCTGATACAGAGAATGAAAAGTTAAGTCCCTACAGTGGCCTGGTTCTGTCCTCGGCATCACTTTTGTCTTTGGCACGTATCCCAGTCTGTTTCAATATGCCAGTACATTTTGCATAGCTTCTGCTCAGATCATCTTAACCTTGACTTTCTATCCCCCTCAGGATCCTGATTTATGGCCTTTCTGGCTCAAGTGATAAACTGAGCCGGATCATTTTCTATGTGTTCTCATGTACAGACTGTTTCAAAACATGAATTTCCTCCTTTTATCAGTTGTGCTGCTCCGTAAACAATGGTCTTTCAATAATTCACTCTATCAGAATTGAAGCCCCCCCCCCCCCAGCTAATCTGCACATTCCAACAATATCCTGCTGGCTTTAAATGAGTCCTTCACTTGGAGGTGGGTTAATACCTCTTCTGTCTGGATACTTCTGCATGTTCAAGTACTTCTTTAGAGAGTGGAGATCAATTTACACACTTCAGAGTTCATGTAGGTGGCAGGAAAATTACTATTAAATTGCATGTTCTAAAATGAGTATTAAACTTTGACACTATAGGAGAAATCTTCTCAAATCTAAACCCCAAAACATGCCTCAGATGTCCAGATAAATGCTTCTTTGCCAGATTTAATTAGTTGTAGTGGATTCAGTGTCAGCATTCCCTGTGTTTTCCTTGCCTGATTTGGGAAGTCAGGCAGTGTCTGACCAAGCCAGGCATTTCCTGGCAAGGAAGAGTCATTACAAGCATACCTGCTGTCTTACATGGACTACATCAGGTGGCTTTAAAACGACTGTTTATCATACTCGGATGCTATTAAACAACTTGTGTAGCAGTGGGATGCTGCTGCAGCCTCAGAACCATCTGAGCTGGTGTTTTGCTCCAAGCTACAACAGAAATGAAGAACCGACACGTTGTGCTCTGCTCCTTCTTTGTCCCCTTAAGTCTTTTTCCATCAAACTTCACAAAACTAGGTTTCTAGTTCCTAGACCAGTGTCAGTTCAACACCTTTGTAGTGGTTCTGCACTGGATCTGCAGAAGAACTGCTTATTGAAAGGGTTTGGGATTTCTCACTGAGGGCTATATTCCTCCTGTTAACACCTTTGCAGCATAAATTGAGCTGTGCTTGCTTTACAGTGACTTTAAATAAGAGCAGAACGAAATGCTGTCATCTGTCAAAAGTGAAAATTGAATTTCAGGTTTGCTCTTTTGGCTCAACAAACAGCAGGTTGCAAGAAATACACATTTCAAACCTGAATGGGCAGCATCTCAGAGGTCATCGCTAGTGATCCATGGGGAGAACTGACATCCCTTCTCTTGTGATTTGCTGCATCCCCTCAGATACAGACACTGAATAACAGTGGAGAAGCTGGAGTGCAGGGATGGAATGAGAAAATAAGATGATGTAACCCGTGAAAAAACTGAAGGTGGCTTTGTGATTTAATGAAGAAGTAGTTTAACAAATGCCCCCCCCCCCCCCCCATCTCTGAGGTACTCAGGGGCATGGGTCATAAATCTGGTGCCAGGGACCCCATCAGTGTGAACAGCAGTCAGGACGTGTGAGAGGTTAAGATAAATGAAGGGGAAGGTCATTTTTCTGCCCTATGGATTCCTAACCTGTTGATATATAGCAAATGTGTTTAAAGTAAGTTATCCAACATTTTGAGGCTGTTAAGCTTCAGGAGAAGGGTTTGGTACAACTTTCTGTCAGCTGGGAAATGATTGCCAAGATCAATCCTAAATGTTATTTAGGTTTTCTTTTTTGGATGATTGGATAATGCTGTGCTACAGACTCCACCTGTAACTCATATATATAACTCATGCCATTCTTTGTAAGTTCAAATGACAAGGAAAAGGTTATAAGCAGAATGTTGTAAAGTAAAACTGCTTTTCACAATGTGATAAAAACACTTGTCTGGTGGTTTGGGAAAGGGTTCTGTTCTGCTTTGTCCCCTTTAGGGCCTAGTTTTCTACATTTGGAAAGGAAATGCTTGCTGTCTTTACTTGCAGGTGTGCTCTACTTGTTTAACTTGAGATTGTATTGATGACTTTATCCTTCCTTTCCTCCAGGATGCACTAAGATTGCTATTTGGAATGCTGCCTGATACTGGGGGTTAAGTTCTGCTCTAGTTATCAAGCTCAAAATACTAAGACCATGATTTTTATGTAGCTAAGGGTTTAAAAGACCTCAATGTGAAAGCAACTCTGCTTTTAAATCTCTCCAGTACATGTGTAGAATGTGTTTCATGTAAGTTAATGTTCAAGCCAAAACACACAAGTTTATACAACTAGGTAGATTTAGGTAGATTTAGATTAATTGTAAGGAAGAAGTGCTTCCCTGTGAGGGTGCTGAGGCGCTGGCACAGGGTGCCCAGAGAAGCTGTGGCTGCCCCATCCCTGACAGTGTTCAAGGCCAGGTTGGACACAGGGGCTTGGAGTAACCTGCTCTAGTGGAAGGTGTACCTGCCTGTGGCAGGGGTTGGAGCTGGATGAGCTTTAAGGTCCCTTCCAACCCAAACCAGTCTGGGATTCTGTGGTAGAAGAAGGCATGTAGGAAAGTTTGGAAGCTTGAGGCAGGCTCTAACACCCATCTTTTTAATCGGTCCCCATGATTTCATCTGAGAGGACGGTTTTCTGTAATGCTTTACCCACAAGGCAGGCAGTTGGTGGCATGAATAGTTACAGAGGAGCACCCCTTTTTTGCTGGGGGTGGGAACCTTCAGCTGATTAAAGCCCCCTGTATGCTAGAAGAGGCCCTTAGTGACATGGGTTAGTGATGGATTTGGCAGTCCTGGAGGTATGGACTTGATGATCTTAAAGTTCTTTTCCAGCCCAGTTGATTCTAGTGTTCTATAGACCTGTTACCAGCATTCGTATGTCTAGAGATTGTTAGAATAACTGGTGAACTGCAGTGTTTTTCCTGGACCAGTGATCCAATGATCCTTTCCTTGTAGGCAAGGGAAACCATACCTACAAACTGCAACCTGTAGTTCATTTGTTGAAGCAAACAGGTAAAGCACTAATAGGATTTCTGTTTCACTTGATACAGCCACATGAGGAATTAACCTCATAAAGGCAACTACTTAGAGGAATGCAGTTTCTCTTTAGGAGGTTAGTATGGGTTATGTTCAAAATTTCTCTCTGGTTTTGGAGTATACAATGAATGATGGGGTAGAAGAATCAGTGCATTTCTTTATAATTCAGCAACACTTTTAAACCAGCAAATAATTCCATAGTGAATGCATTGTTACTATTCATCGCTGACTTCTAGCTGGTAGGGCTTCCCAGCAGCGCGCTGTGACAGAACTGATCCCAGGCAGTGTTTATTCCTATCATAAACAAACCTATAGTGCTAAAGCCTTTAGAAAGGCCAAAAGGTTCATTCTGCAGTGCAGTAACAATTAACAATACACTTTCTGTAAGCTGATTATGGGAAGGCTTTGAGTATTGAAAAGGGCAGTAAAGCATGACATGAATGACCCAAGGAGTGTAGGTAGGATCAATTCAGCTTTTCTTTCCCCCTCCTCTGACTAGTTTGGGCATTAATAGCTGGAAACAAAATGGCTTTTAGTATATGAAGTTTATATAAGGTACCTATAATGTTTATTAGCTATTATTTCTTTGTATTAGGTCAGCCAGGGTAATTATAGAAGGAGCTGCCTGCACCATTTCCTGACCCTTAAAAGGACTATGCAAATGTGATCCTGGCTGAAAGCTAAAGATCAACTGTCTGGTCAGTAATCCCTGGGAAGATGAAGGTTCTCAGATGGCATCTGCAGGGCTACATAGGCCAAAAACACCTTCTTGAGTCACTGTTTTCACATGGCTTCCAAGTGTGTAGCCCAGCCTAAAAATGGGTGAGGAAGAGGATGATATATATCCATGTGCAAAACCAAGCTCCTTGTCTTTTACTTTGCTGTACCCTGACTGTATTTTCTAATACATACAACTTGAGGCTGGAAATGAACTGATTTTTTGCTGTTTGCAATTCAGGGGCGCAAATGTTGTGCTGACTACAACCTGCTCAACAAAAGAATACTTCTTTGGCTCCCTTCAAGTCTGTCTGCCTTCCTTTTCCAAGTTCTGTTCCTGGATACCCTGCCCAGATGCCATGCTGGGCTATGTATATGCCAGTCATTTGTTTGGCAGCTTGAACCAGAGCCATCATAATTTTCCTGTGGCTTGGTGGGGTAGAAAGATATGACAGGAGCAAACTTCTGTTTAAGTGAATGGAAGTTTAATATGTGGGTGATGCCTTCTAGCCCAGCATTTGCTAGAATGGTATTTTAAAAGTCTTAACCTTGAGCAAGTCTCATAAACTTTGGGATGACCCATTGAGCTGTGGGCAGGGACACCTCACACTAAACCGTGTCACCCAAGGCTCTCTCCAGCCTGACCTTGAACACTGCCAGGCATGGAGCATTCACCACTTCTCTGGGCAGCCAATTCCAGTGCTTCAGTACTCTCACAGTAAAGCACTTATTCCTTATATTTAACCTGAACTTCCCCTGTTTCAGTTTGAACCCATCACCCCTTGTCCTATCTCTACAGTCCCTGATGAAGAGTCCCTCTCCAGCAGCCTTGTAGCCCCCGTCAGACACTGGAAGCTGCTCTGAGGTTTCCACGCAGCCTTCTCTTCTCCAGGCTGAACAGCCCCAATGTTCTCAGCCTGTCTCCATATGGGAGGTGCTCCAGTCCCTGATCATCCTCGTGGCCTCCTCTGGACTTGCTTCAGCATCTCCTTGTCCTTCTTATGTTGGGGACTCCAGAGCTGGATGCAATACTCCAAGTGAGGTCTCATGAGAGCCCCCTTATCATCCATGTTGAGTATGTCCCCATGAAGCAAGTATGATTTTAACTGAAAACTTAA